GGCTACCATGGCAACCCATCAATTCTGAGTCTATGGGGCCAAGAGTGCCTGTATGGGAGCACTTCATCCCCACAAATACATGAAGTGTATTCCCCATAGACGAAATAACTCCAACCCAAAAAGAAGTAATTAATTAATTAAAGGCATCACCTAACAACTGACGGGAAACCCCAGAGAGAAGGGAATGTGGGCACTGAACATATCTTTCGTAGCAGTCAGAGGACCACCGCCCAAGTGTTTTTATTAGCCAAGGGGGAAGGCCCACAGAAGCAGAGGTTGTGGCAGCCCCAATTCTATAGCTATGTCCCGCATACTGAGAGGGCTGAAAACCCGACATAGAGAGAAGCTGCCTAGTTTCAGAGGTAAGTCCCGCTTTTGTGAGGGGAGCGCCAGACAAGTACTGAAAAAGTAGACCTGTTTTGGTCCCCCGGGAGGACAAATAAGTTGTCATAGCCAAAACAGGGCAGACCCTCTGGTCAGTCTTTCCAATAACAATAGTCTGACCCGAACGGAATGGGTCGGTATTGGATATTTTTATCCTAACTGACATATGTTCAGGGTTTTGAAAACTGGGGGAAAAGGTTATATCCCCTGGAGACAAGTGGAGTGTACATGAATAGGGCGAGTTGCAGGTCATTTCTCCCAAGCGGAGGAAACCAAAAAAGGCTAAGGTCATGGCTGCCCATATCATAATAGAGTCATAGTTATTGGTGGTTGGGATTGCAAGAAGTTGGAAAAACAATTTCAGGTGGTTTATTGTAATAGGGAGTCGAGTGCGGGTAGAATCTCCCTGGGAGCGCTTGATGCCACGGCAAATCAACTGCAGGCGCAGGAATTTCTTAAGGTCCAGGTCATAGCCTGAGCGGATATGCAGGTGTCTAACTGTAGCCAGGTAACCCTTGATGGATGAGTGTTTAATTGTTTTGGCTAAATATGCAACATACTGAATAAGAGTCTCTTCATTGGTTGGCAAATGCGTTGACTTGCTGGGGCTGTGGAGGGTGCAAAAGTCCAAAAATCTTCGTTCACCTGATGTATATGTTTGTCTATTAGAGGCAGCAACAGAGAGACTTAGGTACTTCTGGATGTCGGCATTCAGATCACCAACATTGCTAGGGGTATGGGACAAGGGGCTGGGTCTGCATGAGGGGCCAGTCTGCGAAATCGCTCCATCTGAAATCGAGAGAGGGAATCCGCGATTTCATTTTTCTTGCCTTCAATGTGCTCTGCCCTTGGATAGAAGTTGTGTCTTAAAGTTAGGAGGGTAAAATGGCGAACCAGGTCCATAACCCTAAGAATGTGGGATCGTTTAGAGTTTACTATACTGACGACCGATTTGTTGTCACAATAGAAAACAATACGCTTATTAGCAAACTCATCTCCCCATAGGTGGCATGCTACTACCAAACAAATAACTCTTGCCAGGCAATGCTAATACCAGGAGCATTGAGCTGGTGGTGAGTCTCCCACCTACCCTGAAACCATTTCTGACCTAGGATCCCACCATACCCAAGTTTGCCTGAGGCATCTGTATGGAGTTCGAAAGAGTCGGAGTCTAGCCATGAAGTAGGGAGGAAAAACCCGGCCCCATTCCAAGTGTGAATAAACTGTTGCCACATAGTGAGATCCTTAAAGAAACCCTTGCTTAATTTAATGTGGTGGTGAGGTTTAGAGACTTTACGAGTTAGCTCAATCATGCGTTGGAGAAAGGGTCTCCCAGGAGGGATAACTTTGCATGCAAAGTTCAAAGTCCCAATGAGTGACTGTAACTCTTTTAGGGTGCATGTCCTTTTTGTTTGAAAGAGGGCAAGGGAGGCCTGGATCTGTTCTACCTTATCTGCTGGGAGTCTGGCCTCCATCCGGAGAGTATCCAGGATAATTCCCATGAACTCAAGGGTAGTAGAAGGGCCCTCCGTTTCGTTGGCTGCAATGGGGATACCCAGATTCCTAAAGGTCAAGAGCATGCTAGTCAAGCTCTGCTGGCATAGCAAGTTAAGAGGAGGGGAGGATGAGGCTGGTTCGATAATCAAGAAATCATCGAGGATATGACAAACAAATGAAACAAGGCATTGATTGAGGAGGATCCACTCTATCGCATCAGACAGTAAATTGAACAGGAAAGGGGCACTCCGCAAGCCAAAGGGAAGAACTTTGTCATAGTAGTAGTTACCCTCCCAATACATGCCGAACAGCTCATAATCTGAAGGCCTAAGAGGGATGAGGCGAAACGCCGACTCGACGTCTGTCTTTGCGAGGAAGCACCCTTGGCCAAGGCTCAAAATCCCTTGGATTGCATTATCAATTGTAATATACTGAAGGCTAAAATCCTCCTTGGAAATTGAAGAGTTGATACTCGTCTCTCCAGATTTTGGGAAAGATAAGTGAAAGATGGTCCTAAACTTAGTAGAATGTTTTTTGGGAACCAATCCGATGGGTGACACCTGGAAATTGGGCAGTGGTGGGCTCGGGAAGGGACCCGCAACTCGCCCCAGGGCCACTTCCCTGGAAAGGTTTTCTGAAACAATGTTTGGTTGGGAAAGTGCAGTGGGCAGATTCCTAGAGAATCTAGCAACACGTCTCCCAGTAAAACCCACATCGGCCCCATACCTAAGATTGTTACACAATTTCGAGACAAATTCTTGATTGGGATGATTAGTCAATGTCTCCTCAAGTCGTCGTACATTAATGGGGGTTGGGAAGGGGCAAGTATTCTTCTCACTTTCGATGAGAGGAACTTGACTTTGAGCTTCCATGTTCACTATCTCTATTCCTTCTCCCTTCCCGCTCTGGTTGCTGCACGGGGTGGGCAGGGCAGTCAACCCTTGGGTGCGATCCACTACATCTGTTGCATACATGTCTGAAATGGCAGTGTTCTCTAGTACATGTGCCACTCCTATTGTAAAAGTTGCATGTGCCTCTGTTTGCGCCCCCTGTTGTAGAGACACTTCGCTGGGGTCCATTGGAAAAAAGCGGACACTCTTCTTTGAGTACCGCTGGTGACACAGTAAAAATGGTTAACCAAAGCTGAGTATCAACAACTGACCTATTCATAGACTTATTAACGCTAAATTTCTGGCGAAACTTAAAATCATAAATGGCCCAGCCTAACCCTTTGTGCACACGGGCTGCATATCTAATTAAACTGACATACTGCAACAGTTCCTGCGATCGTGTCGGGAACTTCTCGATCAGTACGCTCATATAGGACGTAAAGGCAGTGGTCCACTGTTCAATATCTGTGATTGAAGTGGAGGCCGTCGGCTTCGATTTCTTCGATACCTTAACAACAGAGTTCTCTAAGGATAATACAAGATTATCCTCATCGTCGTACAGCGACAGGTTCTTAGGTAGCAACTTTGAAAGGTCAAAAAACTCACTACTTTGGATGTCTTTGATATACTGTCCCGGGATGTCTTGGAAAGGTGACGCAAAGTTTACTGCCACAGTGTTCGTGGGAACTGTCATTTCGGGCACTGTGCCAGGCACAAGCGAAGTGGGCCTTTGGGCAAGGAGGCTCAATGAAGCACTCACAGCAGCCCTAGCCGCTTCGGTCGCTATCTCCCTGGCAGATTGTTTCACAGTGTCTGCAATTAATTGTTGGATCATCTGCATCTGGCCGTCTGTAAACTCAGGGCACTCTTGCCTTTGTGCTGCCGTTTCGTCATTGTTTGGAGCTGCTGGTTCATGTTCATTGATGTTTTGAACCTGATTTGGTGATGGAGTGTTCAGCTCCCGGTGCCAGCGTTCAAGGGTCTTTCGGACTCCTCTCGATGGTATCCCATGTTGAACGCAAAGGGAGCGAAGGTCGGCGATGGATAGGGCTCCAAACACGGTCGGGTCAATATTTGGTTGTGCGCTTGGGTGGGAAGTCGACCGGTGAGCTCGTGGCAGCATGATTTGCAGTCTTCGAACTTAAAATCGCCTCACAGAATAGCAAAACCATCTCAGAAGAAAGCGAAGAAACGAGTTGAACGGCTGCGAGACTTATTAACGAAAATCACGTCATAGAAGGTAAATACAGTTTGCTAGCTTGCAGCGAAGGAATGAATGAACACACCACTCGTGCTCGATGCCTGGGAATCGATTGACAGTGAAATACCAGCCAATTCTGAATGGCTTAGCGTACAGTTTGCGTTACTAATGCATGTGATCACACTAAACTTTGGACTGTGAAACCCTACCCTCTACCTTTTTGCATGTCACACAACCAGCATGTAATCACTCATGGTTGTCCCATTAACTTAAATTTACGAGGACATAAATTGGTCTTTAAATTTGGCACGGCAATGTTCTCACCTTCTATATGATGCACATACTTAAGAAAATAACCCAAAGGAAATCCGCACACTGATTGGTTCAAAACCATGTTTTTATTAAACAATTAGATTATGAGCTTGAGATTACTGTTGCTCAAGATTTCTAGTTGACAAGGGTGCACATAGAAATCAAGAGCGAACAATCTAATTGTTTAAGTATAAATCTACTAGTGGTTCAAAAACTTTATCTAAATCCTCTTCACAGACTTTCGAAAATGCCAAGAAGTGACGTTCATTTTGTTAACAAGGCCACACTTCTGTGCTACTCACTGTCTATCATAGACTTGAGTGGATCCGATATCAAGCTGCAAAAATTTGGAATTCACTCCCAGACAGTAAGAGAACAATATCATTTAAACATTTTAAGACAGTCATAAAGAAAATGAACTTTTAGTAGTAGTTATAATTATTGTGTTAGTAGTAGTTTTAATTATGGTATTTTAATAATTTAATTGATTTATGTATTTTTATTCTATTCTTTGAAGATATTAGCTCAATAGAGCTACTCTGATAATTCGAGTTGAAATAAAGTGTATGTATGTAAGTATCAAAGAATTAGATAGCAAATAACATAGCCAATCATCGAATGGCATTCCTGAGCCATAGTAGATTTATACTAAAACTCGCTAGAAACACGGTGCATGTTTTCTTTTTCTTAAATAAAACAGGTCTGCAATGTAGTTGTTAATTCTTAAATGAATGATCAGTATACTGTTGTTGCTCTGGTTATAATATCTCTCTCTGTGTTGAAGTGCTACATGAAAGTAGGGAATCAAAGCTAATTAATGCAAAAATGGAGGTAAAATTTTGTGAATTAATAAACATAGGTTTTCAGATGGTTGTTAAGATACATTGGTCAAATACTTTTAATTGTATGTACAATTGACATAATAGACAATTATTAATTGCTGATGTGACATTGACTTCTTCATGAAGTCTCGATATAGGTAAGGAAGAGAAAGTCTGCATTTGAACCATGGCTTATCAGGCTGGTCCTTATGTCTGGTTTCCTTAGCATCAAGCTGCTAGTAGTATTTTCCAGGAATGTATCACGATGACCTTGACAAGGGCTCAAATGTGGACCACTCCATCTGAAGTCCAGGGCTTTAAACACACATGCAAGACCATTGCACCTCCCCACATGGTTTGGTTTAATTACTTCAGCTTGTTGCATAATGAAGTCACCATGTCTCTGGTTGT